TCTCACACACTCACACCCACTCTCATTCACACTCTCACACACACACACACACACACACACACTCTCATTCACACTCTCATTCACACTCTCTCACACACACACTCTCATTCACACTACTCACTCACACACACACACACACACTCATTCACACACACACATGCACTCACACACCCACTCTCACTCACACTCACTCACACACACACACAGTTCCAGGCAGCTTTCTTGACCGCATTACAGCTCCATATCACTTCGCATAGTTAACTGTAATAACGGAAATTAGCATACAGTACCTATACAGCACACAGGAATTACTGCAATCACACGTGCTCGCACAGGCACACTACGGTCACGCAGTTTGCACAAAAAGGTGTTGTCAGCGCTGCTCTGACGATTTTATCAGTTAGCCTATATAGTGTAGCAACTTAAAGGCTACACATGACATTTCTCACTAGCGAGGTAATAACAGCGCTGTTTAGAGACGCTGCTGCACAACACTGTTGAGGGACGCACAGAGGTAGCCTAATTCACACAAGCTCTCTCTCTCTCTCTCATTCTCTGTGTGTGTCTGTCTCTCTCGCTCTCTTTCTAATAACTCCGCTTCGCGTTGTGGCCGCATCACCACCTCGGGTGTGCATTATTTTTCTAATAATTCAACGGCCCGTCGTCAATTATTCCTTACATATACCACGGTATTTACTTAACACTTCAACAAAAGCCAAGAAAAAGTGTATTATCATCAGACAAACAACAGATAGAACACCGAACAACTGACTGATGCCATTTTGGAAATAAAGATCCTTAAAAAACACCCACCTGTTGATTTTAACGTTAACAAAATTGACTACGGTCGATGTTTTTGGATGCACTGCTGCGTATTCTGAACAGCTAAATTAACTTTAATCACCATAATGTGATCAAATCATCATTGCGAAGTCAAACACATTTGTCTTCATAATCTGTCGTTAAAATTATTTTTTTCTCTCTTTTTTTTCTCTGTTTTTCAGGTTTAAACACCATCTCTCACTGACAGATAGGAAACCTTCTTGAAAACATTCACCTGTTGCTTTTACAGCTAAGCACCATGACATTATACTGGTTTCTGGACCATACCATGGCAATGTCAAGCTTTTTGTTTTGGCACCAAGGTAATCCAATGGAATTCATTGACACACCATGCAGTGCCTCAGTACGTGACCATGGACATCAATCAGAGCCATGATATATATTAAATAGCACGGTATCATCAGAGTGCTGTATTGTAAGCATGGCCGGACTAACCATTGGGCTTGAGTGGGCTGCAGCCCATGGGCCCCGCCTTGTAGGGGGCCCCGCATTTGCCCGTTTATGTTTGTTTGATTTGATCGTTATATGCCAGTCAGAATTCAGAAATTATTAGCCGCATTTCCACTGCGCACGCAAGATCTAAACGGGCCAGCCGGGCCTACAGCTCACAACTACGACCTTCGAGGCCACAATCAAACAGCATAATCTGGTATTTATGATTATTTCACATAGAAGAAGGACACACGTATTGAATCGCGTCTGCACCGATTGGTTTGTGATCACATGGCTACTTTAAACAGCTCCATTAAGCCTTTAGCCCCAAAGAGCGCACATTTAGAAAGATAATGATCAATTCTCAAATGTTTCATTGTTTCACCTCATTTCTTTAGAGAGGATGATTCTATAGTACTATAACCTATTAATGTTCCACTAAATTATGCGATCATCTGATGAGTTTTGAGCGCTCTCTTGTCTTACTGCCATTACACATAGTGGGGAAGAAATGTCATCAAAATGATTTTAAATAAAAAAAATAGCAATTGAATGACTTTCTGTTTTTATAACATAGCTATGCCTATGATATAGGACTTAGCCTATCACACAAACACTCCTATTTTTTTCTTGAATATCTGCAAGATCGCAAATGTACAATAAACAACAACTACAAAATTCAGTTTTGCTCCGTCAGAAAGAAAACAGAACAAGCAGCAGAACCGCTGCGTCTCCGAACAACAGTGTTTTGTTCCTCAGCGTTACACGGACCAGCAAACGATTCAATCAGGCTATAAAAGTTCAGTCGTTTGCAAAGTTAAATGAATCCGCTTTTTAAATGAATCGGTTGATTCAACTCACTCATTAGGTTAAAGTTTCATATTTTAAAAAGTAGCTTATTTCAGTTTTGCAATCATTTAATATTTCTACATTAATAAAATGTTATATTTAAACTTAACATTATGCACAATCCATCTATGAATTTTATTGATAGCGATTTCATTTGTTAATAGCCAGCATGTCTTTTTATTCGATTGAATTTATTGATTAAATAAGAACCTCACATACGAGGACACAGATATGACAATAACTTTTATAATACTAATAAGCCAACATCTCTGGCTTTTTTTTTGCTCAAAGTTATTTTAGGGTTTTGATCTCTCAACTGAGAGAACACATCCTGTTTATTATATTATAATGAATATTTAATATTACATTTAAACTTTGACTATAGCCTAGACATGTTGCATATTAATTGTACTATTTATGAACCTCAAAGCATATGTTTGTGTATTTTGTGTTACTCCATAATGATGTTCTATTTGAGGGCATTTGTAGTGTAGGTATAGGGCCCAAACATAACCTCAAGCCCAGGGGCCCCACCCCCCTAAGTCCTGCCCTGATTGTAAGGGTTTATCAACCTTCACGTGCAGTCAGACCTGTTTGTGAATGTATGTGATGACATGAAGTGTGTGTTTCTCACCTTCACCAGCAGAGCCTTCACCTCATCCAGATCTCCATTCTTCAGGGCCCACATCAACTCCTTATCCCCCATGTCACCTGTCAGAACACAAATTAAGATGTTTTTGATGAAATCCGAGAGCTCTCTGACCTTTCATAGACTGCAAGGATCCTAACGCGATCAAGGCACAGAAATGTAGGACATCGGTGGTTCAACTGTAAATTTACAAAGCTACGAGAACAGCTCTGAAGTTTGTCCCTCTGGATGAAGATAACATTGTGTTTTCATGCACTGCTCGAGATTTTTGGCTTTTCATAATGTGTTGTTTCAGAGTAGAAAAAGGAAAACGTCCACACATTTAAGTATTGCTCTTTATCTATTTGCATTTGTAGATTTGGGTTATAATACATTTTTAAAGGCTGTGATTTTTTTTTCTTCACTTCAGCACCAAACTTTATTCCTATCCTGAAGGCTTTTACTGAGGGCTTTATTCATACATCATTCACACTTATTTATTTAACATTTTATTCCTAAAAACATGGTGAAATGCTTTTTTTGTCTGGTTGTTGACAGTATTTTCTGATTCATCGAGTGATAAAAACCTCTAACTCTGATGTCAACAAAGTCAAACAAGTATTTTGAACTTGGCTTCATCCAGTGTTTAGATTTTTGTTTTGGAAATGTATGCAAATGAGTGCATATTTAATTACATGTTGCTTAATTTGTATAAGCAACATTTCAGAAAACTTTTAACACAAAGACATGTTTAAAGCATCAATTTGTTTAATGTTTTAACAACGTTTTTTACAGTTCTATGAATTTTAAGGGAACATTCCATTGTATGATTTTGCAAACATTACCGTAACGTTACTGTCGAATGTTCTCTGAACATTCCAAAACAAGTAGTAACATCAGATAAATGTCCAGCTGAAATATTGCAGAAAACAGTTTTTTTCCAACATTCTGAGAATATTATAAAATACCAGATAACTTTGAACGCACATTCTATTAACGTCCCTCGTTCAGAACTTTGAGAGAACCTTGCCTGAACGTTCTGAGCATGTTCTCTGCATACATTTGAACGTTTTGTGTTTGCATAACAAAAGTTGTTCTTCCTGAAACTGCAGCAGGCGAACACCTTTGATATCAATGCATGTATGAGCTCCTGTGCCCCGTGTGTTTGCAGTAATTGCGCGGCTGCATTAGCATGAGGCCTGCAGGGCCACGCGAGACCCTCACGAGCTCAAACCACTGCATATCATTAGAGCCGCATCTCAGGCTGCTGTAAGGCGGCTAATGGGCGGCGAGCAGCTGCTCTCTTGGGCTTTACCTGCATTCTGAATTTCCTTCAAGCGGCGCTTTATAACCCTCCTGACAAACACGCGCTCCTTTATAGATGTTTTTGTCCTCTAGCTGGATTGGTTTTCTTTTGAGAGCTTATTTCATGCAATAACAGTGTCATGCGGCGCTGTCATCCTCCATATATCAGCATGAGAGAGGTTATGTGGGAAGGTGACGGACTTCTGTGCTGTTTACGGAGGATGGGAGCTTTCCTTTCGAAGCTGATAGCTCTGATTGCTCTTTTCTGCATCTGCTTTAATGGTCTGATCCAACTCGAGCTTTCTAAAGACACTCTTCATTATAATTGCGAGCAGGTAAAGAAACTGGACGAAGCTGAATGAATATATCATTCAGTGACATGCCACACTAATAAACACCAAACCTTTATATTTGAGTATCGCCTGAACTAACTAGTTTAGCAGGTCAAGCTACTCACTGTGACTAAATCTGACTGCAAAAAAAGAGTCTAACAGGGACATTCTCAGACTTTTGGCTAACAATCGTGCCATCTTAAAGTTATGACCACGCGTTCTTCCAGTAACATTAATAGAATGTTAATTGAACATGATCTGGTCTTTAATAATGTTCTCTAAACATTAGCACAAACAAAACATTATTTATAGATCATTCATGGAACAATTTTCCTGAAACATTTTAGTTGGATGCTCATCTAATGATTTTTAAATGTTACTAGGCTACTTGTTTCAGAACATTCAGAGAACATTCAAAACTAACGTTTCCATAATGTTTGTGGAATGATAAAATAGAATGTTGAAGATCAATGTCCCCTTTGAAGCACAGCCACCACAAAATCAGACTTACTTTGAGATCATTCTGAGGTTAAATACATATTGTTATGATTTTAAATAAGTATTTTATTAGCTATGATACTGTTTTTGGAATCAATTCTTTATATAGCTATGACAGTAAACACTGGAATCTAACAATGCCTTTGAAAAAAACAGTTAATCTTTAAAAAATGAAGCATAGACATACATAAACCCATATAGGAAATAAAAGAGTTATCGAATAAGCATGTTCTTAACTCCTGAAACATTGGTGTTTCATATTTTAGAGCAGTCACTGCAATTTATGAAAGAAATCAATTAAATCTGTGTGTGGGAGTGTGTGTGAAAATAAGCAGATGTAACCCCTTTTGTAATCCTTAACATTTTAATAAGTAACTGTAATTTAATTACACATTTTTTCTCAGTAACTGTAACTGATTACAATTACTTTTATTTTGTAATTAAATTACGTAATTCCGTTACATGTAACTAGTTACTCCCCAACACTGCTTGTGGATTATTGTGATGTTTTTATCAGCTCTCATTCTGACGGCACCCATTCACTGCAGAGCATCCATTGCTGAGACAGTGATGCAGTGACACATTTCTCCAAATCTGATGAAGAAACAAACTCATCCTAATCTTGAATGACCTGAGGATGAGCACATTCAGCAAGTTTTCATTTTTGGGTGAAATATCAAAACTTAAATATAATTTGCATTACCATTAAACCAAAACTAAAATCGTAAAAACATTTCTTGGCTGAAAATTTTCTGCAGTTCCATTTTGTGAAGTACTTAAAAAGATCTGACTCAAAAGAACGATTCATTCACAAATCGCTATATTTTGCTCATCATATGAACCTGGTACCTTGCAAACACATTTTAATTGATATAGACTTGATCACTTGAATGACTAGAAATGGTTTAAACTGAGAAATCTGCTGATGATTTCCATTTTTGTGCACAATGTGCATCAGACAGGCAGTGAACGGACAGTGAACGTACCATTTAAACGAAGACAAACAGCAGCCGGTGTGTATTAGTGTGGAGGATCATCAGACAAAACACTGATGCTCATGATGCTTCTCTGCAGACGGCCTCTCCTGCCCACGCGGATCTGAGGAGCACACGGTTTAATGAGACGCACACACGAGCCTCCTACAGACGGTCTGTGTGTGTGTGTGTGTGTGTGTGTGTGTGTGTGTTTTTGTGTGAGAGTGTGTGTGTGTATGAGTGTGAGAGTGTGAGTGTGTGTGTGTGTCTTTTTGTGTGAGAGTGTGTGTGTGTGTGTGTGTGTGTGTGAGTGTTTGTGTGAGTGAGTGTGTGTGTGTGTGTATGTGTGTGTGTTTTTGTGTGAGAGTGTGTGTGTGTGTGTGTGTGTGTGTGAGTGTTTGTGTGAGTGAGTGTGTGTGTGTGTGTATGTGTGTGTGTTTTTGTGTGAGAGTGTGTGTGTGTGTGTGTG